CCATCTCGGGGCTGGGGGACGAAGGCTGAAGCTCCCCAGCTCCCTCAGCAGCCTCCCCAGCTGTGCTGCCCACAGCCATCTCCCCCACGCACCGTCTGCCCCAGCTGTGCACCCCCAGGATCCCCCCAGCACCTTTCCCACTGCACCAGCCCCACGAGGACCCCCACGGCCTCAGCCTTTCCTCCCACTTTCCCCCACTCCCTCACCTTTCCTGATGGCAAACCAGCTCCCTGCAGCCAGGAGGACGAGGCCGACGGCCGCCACTGCCAGCACCGTGCCTGTGGGGAGGGTGTGCAGGATCCGGGGATATGGGGCTGGGGGAGAGATGGTGTGAGGGCAGCGGGGTGTGACGGGGAGAGGCAGGGAGCAGGACGTGCCCATGCAGCTGGCATACCCTAACACTTGTCCTCACCTGTGGAGCTGTGGATATCAGTGGTGGTCTCACCATTACCTGCACCTTGAGGCAAAAGGGGTTTTTCTTAGTGGGGCCAAGACCTGGCACACCGCCACACCCGAGTCCTTTTTCTTCCTTTTTGTTCCTGCTGAGCAGGCACCTTTCTGTGTCTCAAACCAGCACCACTGTGCTCTCCCTTCTGGAACCATCCCACACTGTTGCTGATGTACAGGCTATAGTCTGCCTCATGAAAATCACACCACTTCCCCTGCCATAGGCTCATCAATGTACAGGGCAGATCTTGGAATATCCCGGGCTCAACCCAGGGTCCATCAACATCCCCAGCTCTTGCTCTCTCTGCATGGGCACTGCACAGCCCCATGCCTCAGCCGAGGTGTTGCTGCAGGGACAGGGACAGCCCTTGAGAGCAGCTTTCTCTCTGTAGGGGCTGCCTCTGAGGAGAGGGAACACTCTCGAGGGGGAACCACCCCAGTCCATGCCCTGCCTGCTGCAGCACACAGCTCCAGCCTCAGCAGTTTTCCGAAACCTTCTACCCTCACCACTCTGGGGCCGTTTCTCACCTGCCACAGACAAGGTCCAGGGAGCACTGAGAGCAGAGTTCCTCACACTGTTTTTCTTGTTCTTTTGCTGGTACCCACACGTGTACATCCCAGCACTTCTCGAGGTGATGTTCAGGACCAGAGCATAGATGAGCCTGCCCTTCTGGGCTTTCAGGCTGAACTCCTCCTGCCCATTCTTGCAGAAGACAACTCGCGTAGCAGGAAACTGCCAATCAATGACACAATGAACCAAAACTGTTTCCCCTTCTTGGGCACTGGAAGCATTGACGTACAGGACTGGAGCCTGGTTGTTACCTGGAGAGAAGGCAGAGGGATTCCCCAGGCAAGTGTTAGTGATTGCCGGGTTGCAAAACCAACTGCATGCCAAGGCTGGAGGAGTCTGCTCTCCTGGGGTTTACAGGGGGAATCGTGAGGGAATAATCCCCTTCCCTCTTCCCATCTCTTTCCATAAGACAATGTCATTTTTGGGACCCACCTCCATGCTCCCGAAATCCTGGAGAGCTGCAGATGTCCTGGGTGGTCCCTCCAGCACCTGCAGCATAGGGCAGAGAGAGCTTTGCTTAGAGGGGTCATGATCTCCTTCTTTCCCCAAAGCAACTCTGCCCCACAGTGCTGCACTCCTGCCCTGCACACACTGTCCCCATCCTCCCCTGTGCCCACCACTGGCCTGTCCTGCCCCCAGCAGCAGCCCTCCAGACCTCAGCCCCCACACCCAGCAATGCCCCAACTCACAGAGCACCAGCAGCAGGATGGCAGAGCCAGAAGGAGACAGCCTTGCCCATGATGCCTGCCCCAGCATCTTTTGGGGCGCTGCTTTTGGGGAGCAGCGTCTCCTTCAGGTGTCTGCTTTGCTGTGAGCTGGGGATGGTGGGGCAGAGGCTTGCAGTGCAGCTGGGACCTGCCCTGTGGGCTTGCTCTGGCCGCCTGAGCCTGGCCCACAGCCAGAGGCTCTCATCAATGTGTAACCTGTCTCAGCCCCTGCTACATCCGCTGCTTTTGTTGAGCCCCCGCTGTTATTTCTGTCCTCTCACACACTGCAACTCTTGCTGTTTTTACCTGTATCTCAAGGGCAGTATTCTTCCTACATGGCCTCCTGCCCCTTTTCCCCTTGCCAGATTTGTCTCATAGTTTTGCAGCTCTCCATTAAGCTACGAAGCATGTACAGCTTCTCCCAAATACATTTCTGTCCCTTACACCCCCATGTTGGCACAACACTGCTCCATCCCCTGCTGATGCTCAGCCTCTGCACTCTTGTTGCTTGTGCAATGCTGTGCAGCCTGAGCCTCTCTGCCAGCCAGTGGTACTATTATCATCATTATTGTTATTGTTGTAATAAATGGCTCAGTCTTCAAAATAGGACTATAATCAAAGTTTAGAATTTATTAAAGGAATAGAGGTAAGCAAACAGCGCTGTTCCACCTACTCCACAGGAGACCCTGGATGGAGAACTGATCTCAGGTTTTCCCCTGTATCTGCAGTAGCACCTCTGCTGAGACATGGGGCTCTGCAGTGCCAATGTAAAAAAAGCAAGGGTTAGGGATATCAGTAGACCCTGGACTGTGCCACTACTACTACAAGCTCTCCCTCAAATTTTTACTACCCTATGTCTGGGAATTTACACTGTCAGAGGCCTTCCTGAAGTGCAAGCAGGCAAGACTCATGCACTCCCCTTGTCTACCAGTATGGTCATTTCATCATAGAAGGTTGTTGGCTTGGCCATGCATGACTTCTCCTTGCTAAATTCCTGCTGACTACTCCTGATGATTGGTTTGTCCTCCAGGTGCCTGGAAATGCTTTCCCAGGTGAACTGCTCCTTCACCTTCCAAGGGATGGAGGCGATCTGACTGGCCTCTATTTCCCCAGGTCCTACTTCTTGCTGTTCTGGAAGAGCAGTGACGTTTGCTTCCCTCCTGTCTTTGGGCCCTTCTCCCACTTGCCTTGACCCATCAAGGATGATGGAGAGTGGCCTCGCAGTGACATCTGCCAGCTCCTTCAGCACTCACTTAGGGGTGCCTCCTAGCAGGGCCCATGGCCTTCTCTGCTCAGTTGGTAAAGCATTGTCCCACCTGATCCTCCTACACCAAGGGGACACCTTCCTTGCTGCAGCCCCTGCCCCTGCCTTCTGGGAGATGAAGTTCCTTAAGGTTTGTTTTGTTAGTAGATACCTATCCAAGGAAGGCATTTGGTACTTGTGTTTCTTCTCTCTTCTGGGCAGTTGTGGTGGTTTCACTGCCATGGAAACTTTTCTTGGCAGCTGTGGTGGCTTTACTAAGGAGGACAGAGAGCTCCATCACAACCACCCTCTCATTCCCCCTCCAGAAAGTGTAAGGGGGAGAAAATAGAATGTGAATGCTTGTGATAAGAATAGGGAGATCACTCAAGCTTTATTGTCACAGGCAAAATGAACTGAGTATCGGGAGATAAATGAAATTTGTTACCTATTATTAACAAGATGAAGAAGTGAGAAGAAGACAAACAAACAAACAAATATATATATATATCTTCCCCCATATCCCCAGTCTTCTACATCCTCTCTCCAGAAGGTGTAGAGAAGGGAGGAAAGGGGCCTGTGGTCAGTCCGTGATACTTCATCTTCGCTGCTTCTCCACAGTCACTCTGTGCCCCTGCTCCAGTGGGGTGTCCCTGCCCCGGGATGCCGTCCTTCCAAGCTGATCCTGCATGGGATTCCCACAGGCAGCAGCTCTTGAAGACCTGCTCCGTTACAGGTCTCCCACGGGCAGCAGCTCCCCCCAGACTCCAGCTCCTGCGTGGGCTCCTCTCCACGGACTGCAGCTCTGGCCTGGGGCCTGCACAAGTCTTCTTCTATTGGAGTTTCTCCCCTATTCCTTTGAGGAAGGGAATTGAGAGAGCAACGTGGGGGAGCTCAGGTGCCTTCAGGGTGAAACCTCTGCCTTTCCTGGTTGTTGTGTGGTCGCATGGGGGTCAAAGTGTGGGTGCAGATGGCTCCCACAGTGCTTTGCTGGCAGCAGTATGGCCCCAGCTGAGACTCCCTGAGAGTTCTTCATAAGCTGATTCACCAACAGGATGAAGGAGAAATCTGCCCATAGCAACTGCCCCAGAGCTCTGGCGTCACTTTGGCCTTGGTGTAGGATTCCCCTGATGCCATCATTTGTCTCGACATTGAAGAGAAGCAGAGTGACGTGTTCAGGAGAGAGCAAATCCCAGTGGGCACAAGGGGCAGGAGCTCTTTAGAGGGACAATGTTTTCCCTGAGATACAAGTAAATCTAGCGTGTGTTGCAGTGTGTGAGAGGACAGAAAAAAACAGTGGAGGCTCAACAAAAGCAGCGGAAGTAGAAGGTTCATAGTTAAAGGCCCCCACTGATGAGAGCCTCTGGCTGTGGGCCAGGCTTAGGCAGCCTCAGAAAGCCCACAGCACAGATCCCAGCTGAACCGCAAGCTGCTGTCACACCGTCCCCAGCTCAGAGAAAAGCAGACACCTGAAGCAGACGCTGCTCCCCAAAAGCAGCACCCCAAAAGATGCTGGGGCAGGCGCCATGGGCAAGGCTGTCTCCTTCTGGCCCTGCCGTCCTGCTGCTGGCACTCTGTGAGTTGAGGCATTGCTGGGTGTGGGGGCTGAGGGCTGGAAGGCTGCTGCTGGGAGCAGGACAGGCCCGTAGTGGGCACAGGGGAGGATGGGGACAGCGTGTGTGCGGCAGGCGTGCAGCACTGTGGGGCAGTTTGTTTGGGGAAGGCAAGATGGGGATGGCTTCCTCTAGGTATGATACAGATCTGAGCAAGGGGCACACTTCTCCAGAAACATAAATTGTCTGGAGTGTTACTCTGAGACTCTAGGACTGCTGAGTTCTATACGGAGATATGGGATTTACCTGGAACAAGAAATCCACACGCAATGGGATTGGGATTGGCATTGTTCAAGAGGTTATTGAAGAGATACAGCATGAAAACAGGCAGGTGTGAGGATGCCTGTTTAGCAGTGAGGATTTGGTCGGGGGGATATGGGAGTAGGGAAATCTGAATGAGCCAGGACACTGCCCCTCTCAGCAAATCCCTCTCTGCCCCTTGGTACAGGTGGCAGCATGACCTCCCAGGACATCTGCAGCTCCCCAGGTACTCGTGAGTCCTTCCCTCCCAGAACCAGGGCACTTGGAAACCCAACCACTGTGAGCTCTGCCCTATGGCAGCCCTTCACTGCTGTGTCTCTTCCAGGGGATCTCCGAGCTCCTGTTCTCCAAATGAACTCAAGGTCTGCTCTGCCAGGTACAAGAATTTTTCTCCAGTGTATTCTCCCTATGGTGTCACCTGTAAGACGAATCATCTTCTGCAAGGATGGGATAGAGGCGTACAGTCTGAAAGCCCAGCAAGGGCAGCTGAACTACTCCGTGGTCCTGAACATAACGTCAAGAAGTGCAGGAAGATATAGATGTGGTTACCAGGAGTGGAATGAGTTGAAACACAGGAGGAGCTCTGCCCTCAGTGCTGGCCGCAACCTGGATGTCCCTGGTGAGTCCTGTCCCCAGGCTGGAGGGGTGAGAAGGGAAAGAGGCACTTGCCACCACATGGCTGTGCTGAGGCTGGAGCTGTGTGCTGCAGCAGGCAGGGCATGGCTCTGGGGTGGTTCCCCCATGGGAGTGTTCCCTCCAAGGCAGCCCCTAGAGAGAGCGAGTTGTTCTCAAGGGGTCCCCCTGTCCCTGCAGCACCACCTCTGCTGCAGAGATGGGGCTCTGTAGATCCCGGGCAGAGAGGATGTAAAGACTGGGGATGTTGATGAATGCTGGATGAGCCAGGGATGCTCCAAGGTCTGCCCTGTGCATTGATGAGACCATGTCAGGGCAAGTGGGATGACTGTCATGAGTTGGGCAAGGACACAGCAGGGAGGACATGGCAAGGACCCAGCAGCAGGGACATGGGCACAAGCGTGTGGGTGCCCCATCTCTCACTCCCTCTAAACAAAACTCTCTGTGCCCCAAGGTGCAGCTGCTGACGTGACCACCCAGGACATCTGTAGCTCCCCAGGTGAGGTTGAGCGTGGGGATGGGTGACTGAAGAGAAGTGTGTGGGGGGTGGTGATGGCAAGGGAGAGGGAATTTGTTCTCTGGGCGTGTGCTCCTGGGAAGGAATCACTTCCCTGCATGGAACACAAAGCATTCTGTGCCCAGTTCTGGGATTCCCTGTACAGGACGGGCATAGAACTACTGGAGAGAGCCCTGAGGAGGGCTACAAAGATGATCAGAGGACCGGAGCCAAGAGAACAGAGCCTGTATAGCCTGGAAAAGAGGAGACTGATGGGAGACCTCATCCATGTCTATAAATACCTGAGCGGAGGGTGTTGAGAGAATGGAGTTGGTCTCTTTTCGGTTGTGTCCAGGGAAAGGGCGAGAGGCAACGGGCTCAAATTGAAGCACAGAAAGTTTCATCTTAATATGAGGGGCATTTCTTTACTGGGAGGGTGACAGAGCACTGGAACAGGCTGCCCAGAGATGCTGTGGAGTCTCCTCTAGAGATATTCCAAATCCACCCGCATGCCATCCTGTGCAGTGTGTCCTAGCTGATCCTGCTCAGCAGAAGGTTGGACCAGAATCACAGACAGATGAGAGTGGTGGTGCCATATTTAATCGGCAGGTACACCTTGGCCAAGATATACTTAACCACTCACAAGGGAATTTAGACAGCAGATCCATGGAGGCCCATGTTGGCACAACAGCTGCTGGCACTTTTATGTTTTCCTTGGGGATGGTGCTGGCTGTCTATGGGGGGATGTTACCATGGGGCTGAGGCTCATTCTGGGAAGGATCTGGGTGCACTGTAGACACTAAGCCTGTCTTTTGTCCTGCCAGGCATTGTGGTGAGCTCCCCAACAAGTCCATCATCCCCAGGTGAGTGATTCCCTCCTACACCCCCAGAAACCTGAGCATGGGGAGTGGACGTGCTCTGCAGCCTTCCCCAGGGCATGGGGACAAGCAGGAGCTTCACCAGGCAGGAGCTGTGCCAGCTGCACGGGCACGTCTTGCTCCCTGCCTCTCCCCATCACACCCTGCTGCCCTCACATCCTCTCTCTCACAGCTCGCCATGCCCGGATCCCGCACACCCTCTCCACAAGCATGGCGCTGGCAGTGGCAGCCATCGGCCTCGTCCTCCTGGCTGCAGGCAGCTGGTTTGCCATCAGGAAAGGTGAGGGAGTGGAGGAAGAGGGGGGAAATATTGAGGCGTTGGGGGTCCTGCTGGGGGCTGGTGCAGTGGGAAAGGTGGTGGGGGGAACCTGAGGGTGCACAGCTGGGTCAGACGGTGCCTGGGGGTGATGGCTGTGTGCAGCCCAGCTGGGGAGGCTGCTGAGGGAGCTGGGGAGCTTCAGCCTTCATCCCCCAGCTTCAGCCTTCGTCCCCCAACCCCGAGATGGGCAGCACCTTGGCCTGTGCACCTCAGCCCCTGTTCTTCTTGCAGGTGCATGCAGAGGGAGATGCCCAAGGTGAGCACCAAGGGCTGCTGGCTGTGGGGTATGGGGGAGGGAGCTGGGGGCATGGAAGGGCCCTGGGGTGCTGCATGGACAGGGGCAGCATTCTCTGTGTGTGTGTGGCTGCATTCCCTGTGCTGGAGGCAGGGAGGATGGGGCTTGCTATTTGCTGCACTCCGGTTCACCACATGATGTAGGAAAGCATAACAAGAGTGTGTTTCTCATGTGGCAACCTCACCACAAACGCACACCCAACAACCATTCCATTTCTCTCCAGGCAGCAGCACGTTGACAGCCCACAGATGGAAACCACAGACCACGACGAAGTCCCATGTGAGTTCTACCTCCTTCCTCATTCGAATCCATACACCTGTCTCAGGTGGAATCCCACCCCTTCATTTCCCACTGGGACATACAAAATCCCTGCCTGTTCATCAAGGCCAGGTTTCTCTCCAGCACTTCATGTCCTGCTTCTTCCTTGCATGCAGAGCGCGGCTGCTGGCTGCACAAGGGACATGGCAGCATCCCAGTGCTCCCAGAGACAAAGCCCTTTTGCTTTGGGGGTTCCTTCCACACCAGCTCCGGCCCCAGGCTGCATTTCCCCTGCTTCAGCCTCTGCTTTTGTCCTTTCTTCAGTTTCTCTTCAGTGTCATTTCTGCTTCAAGAACTACATAAAGCACATCACAGCAACAATAGCTGTCGCTCTGTTTCCTTGCACTGCTGGGGAAAATATTTTATAGCTCATTCTGAAACCACAGGCAGTAGCCAGGGGAGGATGTTGTGGTTGGGGAACAGGCTATAGATATATCACCACCTGATGTGCACTCAGGACGAGTTGCAGCACGACCTTGTTTACCCACGCCTGCACAGAGCAGCTCGCAAGGTGTGCTGGCTGTGCAAAGAGAGGCGATGCCACAGAATGCTGGAAAGACACCAAAACCTCAGCATCTCTGCTCCATCGCTGCTGCTTAATTTTCATCCCAGTTCAGGGTGATGGGAGAGGAAATGTGGCCGGGCTTTGAGAGCTGACCACAGGCAGCTGCTGACCAAGGTCAGTGTGAGTTTCAGCCCTCCACCAACAGGCAGCAAGGGCTCATGGTGTGTTTTTTTTGCCCCCACAGACTCCACGATCGCCCATGTTCGACGGGACAGGGTGAGTCATGGCACAGCTGTGCACAGCTCCTTTCTGCACTCCTGCAGCCTGGTGCATGCTCATTGTGCAGGGCTCACAGTCAGCAGCTGAAGTAACAGGGTTTCTTTTCTCCCTGAAACCTCCTCCCATGCAGCAGATGAGCGACACCACGACATATGCCACGGTGACCCACACCCACACCCGATAGCACTGCAACAGGGCAAGGGCACAGGAGCCTTGTCCACAGATGCCTTTTCTCTCCTGCAGAGTTCTTGTGCAGCCATAACGTGGGGCTGCGGGGTGCACTTTGGGCTTCTCTGGAATTTTCTGTCACAGGGAAGGGCTGTGTGTGTCTAGCCAAGAGGCTGAAGGACTCATATTTCTGTTTGCAATAAATTAATACCTCTAAAATATATCAGGTGTACCAAGTAATATTGTGAGTGTATCAATGGTTTTCCTCATGTGAAACCATCTCCCTGTGCTCACTGGAAATTATGTATTCCTAAACTGCATGATAAAATCACAGGGCTGCTCTTCCATGCACCCACACAGATGGACATTTGGACCTATAGGGACCGGTATCACTGCAGGGATGTACTTGCATGTGTCTGCCAAGTGGTGTGTGTGCTGCAGATGTGGTTTTGTTTAGAGGAAAAATAAACGCCTCTGGACGTCCATAAATCCATGGGTCATGATGGGATGCTCAAGATGCTCATGCCAGGAGCTGAAGGAGTTGGTGGAAGTCATTGCTAGGCCATTGTCCATCATGTGTGGTAAGTCATGGGCATCAGGAAAGGTGCCTGAGGACTGGAGGAAAGCAAATGTTAGTCCAGTCTTCCAAAGGGGAAAGAAGGATGACCCAGGTAACTATAGACCAGTCAGCCTCACCTCCATCCCTGCAAAGCTGATGGAACAATTTAGACCTGGCGTTGTCTCTAGTTATCTCAAAGATAAAAGTGTCATTAGGGGCATTCAGAATGGGGAAGTCATGCTTGACCGAACTGAGAGCCTTTTATGAGGATATAGGTGGGGGATAGATGATATTAAAGCAGTGGATGTGGTCTATCTTGATTTCAGTAAAGCCTTTGACACCATCTCCCACAGCATCCTTGCAGCTAAACTGAAGAATTGTGGTCAGGACAATCAGGTAGTGAGGTGGACTGTGATTTGTCTGAAGGGAAGAAGCCAGAGGGTTGTTTTCAATGGGGTGGAGGCGAGTTGGAGGCCTGTATCTGGTGGAGTCCCTCAAGGGTCGGTACTGGGACCAGTGCTTTTCAATATATTCTTCAGCGACTTGGATGAGGGAATGGAGTGCACTGTCAGCAAGTTTGCTGATGACACTAAACTGGGAGGAGTGGCTGACACGCTGTGCATGCTGTGCACTGCTGTGCTGCCATCCAGCGAAGCCTAGACAGGATGGAGAATTGGGTGAGGAGAAACGTAATGAAATCACAGAATCAGAGAATCGTCTAGGTTGGAAGAGACCTTCAAGATCACCTAATCCAACCTCTGACCTATCACTAACAAGTCCTTCACTAAACCATATTTCTAAGCTCAATATCTAAACGTCTTTTAAAGACCTCCAGGAATGGGGAGTGAACCACTTCCCAGGGCAGCCCATTTCAATGCCTAACAACCCTTTCAGTAAAGAAGTTTTTCCTAACATCCAACCTAAACGTCCCCTGGCAAAAATTTAGCCCATTCCCCCTCATCCTGTCACCAGGCACGTGGGAGAATAGACCAATCCCCACCTCTACATCCTCCTTTAAGTTATCTAGAGAGAGCAATGAGGTCATGCCTGAGCCTCCTTTTCTCCAGGCTGAACTCTCTCGAGCACCTCCATGTCCTTCTTGTAGCGAGGGGCCCAAAACTGAATAGAGTACTCGAGGTGTGGCCTCACCAGAGCCGAGTACAGGGGGACAATCACCTCCCTAGCCCTGCTGGCCACACTGCTTCTTATACAAGCCAGGATGCTGTTGGCCTTCTTGGCCACCTGAGCACACTGCTGGCTCATATTCGGACGACTATCCTCCCAGGTCCTTCTCTACCAGGCAGCTTTCTAACCACTCATCTCCCAGCCTGTAGCTCTGCTTGGGGTTGTTGTGTGCCAAGTGCAGGACCCGTCGCTTTGTTGAACTTTATACAGTTGCCCTCAGCCCAGCACTCCAGCCTATCCAGATCCTCCTGCAGAGCCTTCCTACCCTTGAGCAGATAACTTTGTGTCATCTGCAAACTTGCTGAGGGTGCACTCAATCCCCTCATCCAGATCACCGATAAAGACATTAAAGAGGACTGGCCCCAGTACTGAGCCCTGGGGAACGCCACTAGTGACTGGCCTTCAACTGGATTTGACTCCATTCACAACTCTTTGGGCCCAGCTATCCAGCCAGTTTTAACCCAAGGAAGCGTGCGCCAGTCCAAGCCATGAGCAGCCAGTTTCTTGAGGAGAATGTTGTGGGGAATAGCTGTGGGAGACGGTGTCAAATGCCTTACTGAAGTCAAGGTAGACCACATCCACAGCCTTTCCCTCATCCACCAAGCGTGTCGCTTTGTCATAGAAGGAGATCAGGTTCGTCAAGCAGGACCTTCCTTTCATAAACCCATGCTGACTGGGCCTGATTGCTTGGTTGCACTGTAAGTGCCATGTGATGACACTCAAGATAATCTGCTCCATGAACTTCCCTGGCACTGAGGTCAAACTAACAGGCCTATAGTTCACTGGGCCTACCCTCCAGCCCTTCTTGTAGATGGACGTCATGTTTGCTAGCCGCCAGTCAACTGGGACCTACCCTGATAGCCAGGACTATTGATAAATGATGGTAAGAGGCTTGGCCAGCTCTTCCGCCGGTTCTCTCAGTACCCTCGGGTGGATCCCATCAGGCCCCATCGATTTGTGCACATCCAAGTGCCGTACCGGGTCACAAACCATTTCTTCATGGATAGAGAGGGCCACATCCTGCTCCCCATCCCCTTCCACCAGCTCAGGGTACTGGGTATCCAGAGAACAACTGGTATTGCCGCTAAAGACTGAGGCGAAGAAGGCATTAAGCACCTCCACCTTTTCCTCATCTCTTGTGACTAAGTTTCCTCCCGCATCCAGTAAAGGCTGGAGATTCTCCTTAGTCCTCCTTTTTGTGTTGATGTATTTATAAAAACCTTTTTTGTTATCTTTAATGGCAGTAGCCAGATTGAGCTCCAGATGAGCTTTGGCCTTTCTAATTTTGTCCCTGCACAGCCTTGCAACATCCTTATAGTCCTCCCTAGTGGCCTGCCCTCTTTTCCAAAGATTATAAACCCTCTTTTTTCTCCTAAGCTCAAGCCACAATTCTCTGTTGAGCCAGGCTGGTCTTCTTCCCCACCGGCTCGTCTTTGGGCACGTGGGGACAGACCATTCCTGCGCCATTAAGATTTCCTTCTTGAAGAGTGCCCAGCCTTCCTGGACTCCTGTGCCCTTCAGAACCACCTCCCAAGGGACTCTACCAACCAGTGTCCTGAGCAGCCCAAAGTCAGCCCTCCGGAAGTCCAATACAGCATTTTTACTGGTCCCCTTCCTGGCCTCACCAAGAATAGCGAACTCCACCATTTTTTGGTCACTCTGCCCAAGACAGCTCCCGACAATCACATACTCCACCAGTCCTTCTCTGTTTGTGAAGAGAAGGTCTAGCGGGGTGCCACCCCTGGTAGGCTCACTAACCAGCTGTGTCAGGAAGTTATCTTCCACGCTCTCCAGAAATCTCCTAGACTGCTTTCTCTGGGCTGTGTTGTGCCTCCAGGATATGTCAGGGAAGTTGAAGTCCCCCACGAGAACAAGCGCCGACGATTTCGCAACTTCTGTCATCTGCCTGTAGAACTCCTCATGCGTCTCTTCATCCTGGTTCCGCGGTCTATAACAGACCCCAAAGAGACTTCAAAGTGCTCTGTCACAGTACTCGATAGGGAGGGCTCAGAAGCTCACTACAACCTGCACTATGCCTTCTCCAGAAACCCACAAGGCGTAGGAAAAGTTGTAGTTCTTTCTTGTTAGCTGGTGGGCACACAGTTGTTACCTCACTGACCTCACCCACTGGGGTATAGCAACATCCACCTTGCCATTTTACACCTAAGTTTTACATTTCCTGTGCAGGTCCCTTGACCTTACTCTGGCCAATGGCAAAACCAGCCTTCAGAAGAACTTGGACAATTCTCATCCATTTCTCTGCTCCACCAAGAGGCACATCAGTTACATCAGGCGGCTGATTTTTATGTTCCTAGGCTGCTCCTAGGCTCCTACATATTCATTATTACTTCAAGAAAAGGCAGGGTTATTTTAATTAGATCCCGGAATCCGAATCCTCCTACTGGCGCATGCGTATCAGTCTCCAGTGGTCTCTCTGGGAGTCTCTCGTGCTGAAGGCTCGTAGTCTCCCTCCCAGGCTTTTTTTTTTGTTCTTCTCCTTCGTCCAACTTGGCCGGATGTCAGAGACTTGTGCAGCGTCCCGTGCAAGCTTTGTCTTTGAGTCATCCTTCAGCTTTCCCCTTCTCCTTAATCTCTTGGCCAGATACCAGAGACTTGCATAGTGTCCCATACCATAGTCATCATAGGTAGCAGTTATTCTGAAATCCCGTTCTTCTCTTATCCCCTATTGACACAAATTGCTGGAACATTCCTTTGTAAGATACAAGAACTATATGCATTAACCACTCTGTTTTTCTTAGTCTTGTGGTTATACAAGGGTATGTAAGACAGAAGGTCACATTTCATCATATCATGTGGCCCTAGGATTGTTCCGTATTGACATGAATCAGATGAACACATTTCACAGTATCATGGGTAGGAACAATGCATTCAAGTGCGATTTATTACAGCAACAGGTATGCAGGTTCTTTGGATTGCCAGCCATAGTTACTGTCTGCAAAAGTAAGCTAGCAGGCATGAAATACAAGGGTGACACAGGTGCTCAGCCTGGAAATTAACGTGTTAAAAGGCACAAAGACTCTATAGAGATTTCAAAGTTTCCGCGGAGACACACAGTATAACCAAGTGTTCAAATCTCACCCAAAGGCCTCCCAATGGGGGCAAAGGGTGGAAGAGAAGCTCATCCCATCAACTGATCCCAGGAGTCAGGAGGTCCTCAGGAAGGTGTATTTCCTCGGGGTGGTATCTCCCCTTATAGTGGTGTCTTCCCCAACATCCCCTCTCTCTTAGGCCAATTTATATTATTTTCTATCTTTTAGGTGGAGCTTGAGTGACTCTAGTCAAGCATATCTTAGTTATGATTGGTGAAACGTTCTCCCGTTTTAGTTAAAGTAAAAGGCGCCGAGAAATTCAGAGTGCATGCTGAGTGAGGGGTGGCTGCACATTGGAGGCAGGTAGCTTTTGGGATGGAGGTGTGTTTTGGTATTATAATGATATTACAATGAGGAAAAGTACACTAGGGTACAGCATTTGTCAAAACAGGACTGGTCCTTGGCTCAGGGTCGCAAAAAGTGTGGCTTATCAGTCTCAGTGTGCACAAGAACAATCGAGTCCCCACCTGGTCACAGAGCCTAGCTGCAGTGTCTCCACTCCACTCTATGCTCTGTGCTGTTCCTTAGAGCTAGCACACCAGGTTCCCCCAGTGTGATAGCATCTAAGGTTGGAAGCCTAGGGAACGCTTAGGTAATGCAGCTATGCCCAACCCTGAAAGCCTCTTCAATGTTTTACGTTTTCTTTAAAACATGAATGTTGGTTTTATTTTCCTAGTTACTTTAGGCAATTGCACCACATTAGCTGAAGGCTGCTAACTGGTAGTGTACTCCAGGGATCCAAATCACAGAATCACAGAATCACAGAATTTCTAGGTTGGAAGAGACCTCAAAATCATCGAGTCCAACCTCTGACCTAACACTAACAAGTCCTCCACTAAACCATATCACTAAGCTCTACATCCAAACGTCTTTTAAAGACCTCCAGGGATGGTGACTCCACCAGTTCCCTGGGCAGCCCATTCCAATTCCTAACAACCCTTTTCATAAAGAAGTTCTTCCTAAATTCTTCCTAATTACGTCGAATTCCACTCAACATCTTCATTACTCTCAGGATGCTGGTCAGAGGTTACCCTCAGAAAGTTTGCAGCTGGCACCACAATACGATTCGCTCACCAGGGAGCTTTGGAGGCTGTATGGGAATGAAGGAGTAGCTCCGTCCACCCAACTCTGTATAATCCCTTTGAGGAAGTGTCTCCTGGAGGCTTGTGCTGTGAAACATGCATGCACGGGCCTGAAGGAAGCTGTGAGACAAGTGCTTTGATGAAGGCATGGGAGGTGAGGGACTGTGCTTGCAGGATGGAGCGTGAAACCCACATCCCCTCCAGCTCTGCCTCTAAGCAGGTCTTGCTAAGTTTTCACCCCATTTTCTTTTCCCCCCTTCCCTCCATGCAGCCTTGCAACCTTATGTCTGCCAACTGAGCAGCTCCTCTCCTGCCTGCACCCATCTTGTCGCAGAGTCCCCCATTGCACACCAAGGCCCCACATGTCAGCACTGGGAGCTGCAGAGAAGGGACACCTTGGCTCCTTCTTGGTATTGGTGTGGGATGGCTAAAACCCCTTTGTGCAAGGCTGGGGATGGGCTGTGGATGTGGGGGCCAGCCATGCTGAGACCCCATCCCCACCTGCCCCACAGCTGGATGCCCCCATGCACAATGTCCCTGCTCAGGGCTGTCTCCTGGAGATGGCGTGCTGAGAGACAGAAGATCCAGCACAGGGATGGGTGGGCATGGGATGCAGAGTGCCAGGCATGGCCACCCCCTGGACCTTTGCATGGCCTCAGCCATCCTGGGATCTCAGGCACTTTTCCTTGACACATCTGCCAGGGCAATGCCAGTAGGTAGGGGAACTCTTGGGTGGCAGGGCACAGAGAACAGGAGCTCCCTTGCAAGACACATGGCCCCAAACAGCCGTCAAAGAGGAGCTCTCCCAGCTCTGCTCTCTGGCTTCCCTCTCAAATACAGAGCAGCAACATCAGCTTGTGCATTCTGAACCAATCCTTTATAATTCGCTTCCCCCAGGACCAATACCCACCAAGTGCCTCCACACAGGGCACCGTAATTACCTGGGGATGTGCCCATTGTGGCCAGCACCTTGGGCACAGGGAGGTGCTGGAGTGATGCAGGAGCTGCAGAGCATGGCTGCCTGGGGGTGCAGCCATGACACCAACCCCTTGTGTTCTCCTGGTATGCAGAGGTGGATCCCGCATTGAAGATGTGATTCTGTGGGGAGGGGTGAAGCCACGTGGGTGTTGGGGTTGAACGCAGCCGGAAGGGTGCACGATCCAGTGGCAATCCTTGATGTGAGCAGAGAGCAGGCGCTGAGCCAAGGGAAGCAGAGCAGTGGCAGCACATCCCTTGGGCATGCTGCCCCAGCTGTCTTCAGCCCAACAGCAGCGGGAGTCTGGCAAATGTGTGGCGGTCATGTTCTGAGCATGTGGAGCAGGCTGGGGACAGCACGGAGCCCATGGGGACATCATTGCACCATGGGGACAGGGACGTCTCCAGGCTGCATGGCCTCATTGGCACCGTGGCTGCATCTCTCCAGGAGGAGGGTGATTAATGGGGCAGACAGCAGCAGGAGCAGGCTGAGGGCAGAGCGCAGGATCCAGACCTCCAGGGGCATGGCTGACCCTGGGAGAGAGGAGGAACACAGTGTGGCCAAGGCAAGCCTTGGAGGACGGCTGTACTGGGAAAGGCTGATGAGCAATGTCTCACCTCTGGAAGGGAGCTGGGCCTTGTGTGAAGGGCTGCTGCCTGTGGGAGACATGAACATGCTGTGAGTCCCTCGAACTCTTAGTTATGGGAAATCCCAGATGCTGAGCAGACCCTGATCTCTTGTATTGCTTCCTGGAGCAAATGGCCAAAGTGAACAACCGAGCTTGTGTAAATTGATTTTCATAGGTTCATAAAGTTTAGAGGGAAAACTTGGAACAGTAGTGACACAGCCCGGGGTCCATCGACATCCCAAGCCCATGTGTTTTATGCATGGGCCCTGCATCACCCCAAGTCTGCAGCAGAGGTGTTCTGACCTGTGTCCATCCCTAACCATTTTTGGTTGGTTTGTTTTTCCAGGGAGATGTCCCTGGATCCCTGAGCACTCCAATATCACTCCTTTTGCAATATGGCTTCAGCCACAGTTTTAGTGCCAGAAATATTGTCCCCTTGCTCACATGTATGTTAAGGCTCAGCTAATGACAATTAATCTACTTGCCCTGCCACAGGCTCATCAATGTACAGGGCAGACCTTGGAGCATGCCTGGCTCAACCCAGCATCCATCCACATCCCCAGCCCTTCTTCTCTGTGCCTGGGCCCTGCACAGCCCCATGTCTGCAGCAGAGGTGTTGCTGCAGGGACAGGGATACCTGGAGGTCCTGGGGGTGCAGGAGGGAATCACTCACCTGGCAATGACGGCCATGCTGTGGAGGTGGTCACACTGCCTGGCAGGAGAAAGGGACAGGATGAGAGCCTGCAGCACAACCAGCTGGGGTCCAGACTGAGCACCACCTGTAGCATGTCTCCTGCAACAGCCCTGCGCACGTCTGTGTGGGGCAGGGGACACACAGCCCCATGGGCACATCCCCCCACCGACAGCCAGCACCATCCCCAGGGGAGGCGTAGAAGTGCCCGCGGTTGCTGTGCCAACCTGGGCCCCCACAGATCCAGTGACTAAGTGCTGTTGTGAAGGATAAAAAACGGCATGGCAGAGGTGTGCCAGTTCATTTAACACCACCACTCTCATCTGTCTGTGATTCTGGGGGCTAGAGGATCACACAATCACAGAATGGCCAAGGTTGGAAGGGACCTCTGAAAGTTATGTAGTCCAGCCTTCTGCTGATCAGGATCAGCAAGGACAGGCTGGACAGAATGGCATCCATCTGGATTTGGAATATCTGCAGAGGAGACTCCACAGCGTCTCTGGGCAGCCTGTTCCAGTGCTCTGTCACCCTCCCAGTAAAGAAATGCCCCTCATATTCAGATGGAACTTTCTGTGCTTCAGTTTGAGCCCATTGTCTCTTGCCCTTTCCCTGGGCACAACCGAAAAGAGACCAGCTCCATCCTCTCAACACACTCCCCTCAGATATTTATAGACATGGATGAGGTCTCCCCTCAGTCTCCTCTTTTCCAGGTTAAACAGGCTCAGTTCTCTCAGCTCCAGACCTCTGACCATCTTTGCAGCCCTCGTCTGGACTCTCTCCAGTAGTTCTATGCCCCTCCTGAACAGGGAATCCCAGAACTGGGCACAAAATGCTTTGTGTTCCATGCAGGGAAACAATTCCTTCCCAGGAGCTCTCACCCAGAGAACAAATTCCCTCTCCCTTGCCATCACCACCCCACACACACCTCTCTTCAGTCACCCATCCCCACGCTCAACCTCATGAAGGGAGCAGCAGATGTCCTGGGTGGTCACGCCAGCAGCTGCACCTTGGGGCATAGAGGGTTTTGTTTAGAGGGAGTGAGAGCTGGGACACCCACACACTTGTGCCCTTGTCCCTGCTGCTGGGTCCTTGCCATGTCCTCACTTCTGTGTCCTTGCCATGCAGGCACCTTGTCACCCCTACGTCTCAGTCCAGCACCCCTGTGGTCTTCTCCCTTGGTTCAATACCATGTCCCTTTCAGCTGGTTTGATGTTCCACGCATAGGTCTCCAAATACCTAAGAACTCCAGTATCTCTCTGTTCTCACCCAAGAGCTCCAGACCCATTTTAAGAGCCAGAAATATAGACTTTTTCACACATATGTAAGTGCCCAGCTTATGACAATCCCCACTTTTCTCCTGCCATAGGCTTATCAATGCACAGGGCCGATGTTGAAGCATGCCCCATGCTCTATATCTGCAGCAGAGGTGGTGCAGCAGGGACACGGGACCCCTTGAGAACAACTCTCTCTCTCTAGGGGCTGCCTTGGAGGAGAGGGAACACTCCCATGGGGGAACCACCCCAGAGCCTGCTGCAGCACACAGCTCCAGCCTCAGCACAGCCATGTGGTGGCAAGTGCCTCCGTCCCTTCTCACCCCTCCAGCCCAGGGCCATGACTCACCAGGGACATCCAGGATTTGGCCAGCACTGAGGGCAGAGCTCCTCCTCTGTTTCATCTCATTCCACTCCTGGTACCCACAGGTATATATTCCTGCGCTTCTTGACGTGATGTTCAGGACCAGGGAGTAGCTCAGCTGCCCTTGATGGGCTTTCAGACTGTACACCTCCTTCCCATCCTTGCAGATGATGATTCGTATTACGGGTGACACCACAGGGAGAATACACTGGAGCACAACTGTGGTACCTGGCTGAGCAGAAGTTGAGTTCATTTGGAGAGCAGGAGCTGGAAGATCCCCTGCAGGAAACACAGCAATGAAGGGCTGCCATAGGGCAGAGCTCACAGTGGTTGGGCTTCCAAATGCCCTGGGTCTGGGAGGGAAGGACTCACGAGTACCTGGGGAGCTGCAGATGTCCTGGGAGGTCATGCTGCCACCTGTACCAAGGGGCAGAGAGGGATTTGCTGAGAGGAGCAGTGTCCTGGCTCATCCTGATGCTCCTGCCAAAATCCTCACTGCTACGCAGCCACCATTACACATGCATGTTCTTATGCTATATCACTTCAACATCCCCTCAAACAATGCCAATCCCAATCCCTTTTTTTTTGCTTTTCTTGTTCCAGGTAAGTCCCATAGGTCTGTAAAGAATTCAGCAGTCCTAGAGCCTCAGAGCAACACTCCAGAAATTTTATGGTGCTGGAGAAGTGTGCCCCTTGCTCAGATCTGTATCATACCTGGAGGAAGCCATCCCCATCCTGCTTTCCCCAAACAAACTCTGCCCCACAGTGCTGCACGCCTGCCCCACACACGCTGTCCCCATCCTCCCCTCTGCCCACCACGGGCCTGTCCTGTCCCCAGCAGCAGCCCTCCAGCCCTCAGCCCCCACGCCCAACAATGTCCCAACTCACAGAGCACCAGCAGCAGGACGGCAGAGCCAGAAGGAGACAGCCTTGCCCATGGTGCCTGCCCGAGCATCTTTTGGTGCACTGCTTTTGGGGAGCAGCGTCTCCTTCAGGTGTCTGCTTTGCTGTAAGCTGGGGACAGTGGGGCAGAGGCTTGCAGTGCAGCTGGGAGCTGTCCTCTGGGCATTCTGTGGCCGCCTGAGCCTTGTCCACACTAAACATCTCTGTCATTAGCAGGGCCCTGCCTCAGCCCCTGTTACTTCCGCTGCTTTTGTTGAGCCCCCACTGTTATTTCTGTCCTCTTGCACACCACAACTCTTGCTGTTTTTACATGTATCGCAAGGGCAGTATTCTTCCTACAAAGGCCTCCTTCATCTTTTCCTATTGACATATTTGGCTCATAGCTTTGCAGCTCTCCATCAGGCTAGCAAACATCTGCAGCCTGTCCAAAATCCATTTCTTTCCCTTCCACACCCACGTGGGCACAGCACTGCTGCACACCCTGCCGATGTTCACGCCCTGTACTCTTAATGCTTGTGCAAGACTGTGCAGCCTGAGCCCCTCTGCCTGCCAGGAGCTCCATGGGGAGACCTGGTGCTGCAGCCTGTGTCCCATGTAAGAAGGGAAGTCACTTCAACACCCTGTCTTGGGGGTGTCTGGCAAGAAGGCACTGGCTCCTTTCCCGAAATCTCTGCCTTTGCTGCCTTTTCTGAGTGTACCTGGAAGCATGCTTCATGCTGTTGAAAAGAAAGAAAAAAAAAAAAAAAAAACAAAGTACTTTGTGCTGTACAATTATAACAGGGAGCTTTTTTGTAGGGGATGTCATTTCTGTGCCACTGGATGGTCATGAGCCAGGTAGTGTTGAGTAATAACATTTTGCCTCTCTCCTTTTTGGCCTATTTTTTTTTTGTTTTCTTTGTTTGTTTTTTCCCCTCTTTTCCTTCCCTGATGGTTTTATTTTGCTGGGCTGCTGAACTCCACCACAAAAGCTCTCTCACTTCCCCTTATCAATAGAGGAAGGTAAGAAAGTGTGTTGGAAAGAACAGAACAGTCTCACAGGTCAAGAGAAGGATAATTGAATTAAAGGGGAAAAGGAGAGGGGAAAAACAAGCAATGTCCATGCAGAAGAATGGAGAGAGAAAAAGAAATCATCCTCTACTTCCAATCAACGAGCTATGTTGGACCATGTGTGGGGAAGCAAGGCCTCTATACGCGTAGCAGTTGTTTGGGTGGACAGACATATTTATAATGAGAGACTCCCCTCTCCTTCCCCTTTCCCACGTTTTAATGCTGAGTGTGACATTCTGTGCTATGGAAAACCCCTTTGGTGGCTTTAGGGCAGCTGCCCTGGTGATGTCCCCTCCCCACCTCTTGCCCACCCCCAGACGTACTGGGCCGCTGCAGGGATAGTTATCTCCATCCCAGCCAGACCCAGCACCCCTTAATATAATCTAGTCTCTCTGTCAGAGAAGCCTCCCTCCCCTCCCCTCCCCTCCCCTCCCCTCCCCTCCCCTCCCCTCCCCTCCCCTCCCCTCCCCTCCCCTCCCCTCCCCTCCCCTCCCCTCCCCTCCCCTCCCCTCCCCTCCCCTCCCCTCCCCTCCCCTCCCCTCCCCTCAGTAGTCTCTTTCCAGGGCCACCAACCAGACAGCTTTGCCCACACATTGCCAGTTGGGATCATTTCAGCCTGCAGTTCAGACAATGGTTGGCATCCCCCTGTCCCTCCAGAAATACAGGGGGGTTCTGCCCCCGATAAACTGATGGCAGTAGGGTCCTCTGTGTATCACTGCCTATCACAGCCTCATACTCCCATGGTTCTCATGTGCAAGGCCTTTTTCTCCACACTGCCCAGTCAATGCCATTGACCATTTTCTCCACCTGGCTGGTGGCATGGCCCTTCCAGTCCTGCTCAGAGTGGCCATTACTTCATCCTAGCAAATGCAAACAGGAAAGTGGCCTGGCAATGTCTTCTGTCAGCTCCCTCAGCATCCAGGGGTGCATTCCATTGTGAGAGTATTGCCATGGGGGTGGACAAGCCCCATGGTTGGTGATAGCATCAGACTCTTAATGATGGGGCCACAAGGAATGTGAAGTTAGAAGAAACAAAGAAGGGTGATTCAGAAGACTCCTTGCTGTCTCAAACTACTTGTTCTCCAACCATTTAGAGATGGAAGTTGCTAAGTATTTACAGTTGCAAACTACAATAGGAGATAGGAGCAAACTGCAATAGGAGAGGGGGCAATTGTCAAAAAAATGGAGCACTGGAATTTCCACACCAACATGTGAAAGAACTTCTTCACAGTGAGGGTGACAGAGAATTGGAATATGCTACCCAGGGAGCTTGTGGACTCTCCTTCTCTGGAGATATTCAAGGCCCATCTGGATGGCTAACTGGGCAACCTGCTGTAGGCAAACTGCTTTGGCAGGGGGGATTAGACCCGATGATCTCTTGAGATCCCTTTCGACCCCTAAAATTTGTGCTTCTGTGATTCAGAATCAACCAACCCCTACCTGTTGGTGACGAGAAGATCTAGCAGCACTCCTCTCCCAGCTGGCACGTTCACCATTTCCATCAGGAAGTTATCATCAATGCACTGGAGGAACCAGTACTGGAGGAACTTCCTGGACTGTGGGTGACTGGCTGAGTAGGCCTGTCAGCAAATGTCAGGGTAGTTGAAATCCTCCATGATAACCAGGGCCTGTGATCAAGAGGCTGCTCTCAGATGCCTGTAGAAGGCCTTGTCAGCTTCCTCATCCTGGTCTAGTGGTCTGTAACAGACACGCACAACAGCATCCCCCATGCCAGCCTACCCCTTAATTCTCACCCACAGACTCTCAACTCGCTCCTCATCTGCCCCTGGACAGTACTCAATACAATGGAGTTGCTCTCTCATGAGAAGAGCAGTTCCGCCACCTCACCTTGCTGGCCTGTCTTCCTGAGCAGGACATAGCCATCCATGACCACATTCCAGCCATGTGAGCTGTCCCACCATGTCTCTGTAACTGCCACCAGATCTCAGTCTTCTGACCAGAGTTTTCCAACTCCTCCTTCTTATTCCACGTGCTGAATGCATTTGTGTCCAGGCACTTCAGGGAAGGAGCTGAGCACGCTGATTTCACCCCATGAGGGGTGGGAGGCCTCCTGGTCTTCATGTCTGCGGGGGCACTGTCCCACCAGTACAAGCCCTGCTACAACCCCATCCCCCTGCGGATATAGCTTGAAGCTCTCCAAATGAGCCCTGCTAATTGCTGTCCCAGAACCCTCTGGACTCTGGGAGATAAACCTTTCCCAAGTATTCCTCTCAGGCCTGCTGTCTTATAACACCAGCCATTACCAAATAACCCAAAGCTGGGCCTGTAGCACCAGTCACGGAGCCAAGCATTTATGGACCAGATCCTTCTATTCCATCCAATGTCACCACCCCAGAATGGATGGAGGGAAGAGAAAGGGACTTGTACTACAGACTCTTTCACCAACCGTCCCAAGGCCTTGGAAGCTTTATCCATTCCCTCAGACTACAGGACGCAGCTTCCTCCACAGCTGTCTGCAATATTGTCGGTAGATTGTAGTATGTGAAGCACAGCAGGCTGATGAGTGTCCTGGTGATATCTCTGATCCAGGCTCTGATAGACCACAGACTTCCCTGGGAATGAAGGGAATGCTCCGTGTCCTCATGGCCAGTCCTCAGTCAGTTTGGGTGCTCTCCTTTCAGTGCTCCTTGGACCCTGTCTGTGCCAGGTGAGACACGACCCTTCATCAGGGCTGTGGGGTCAGTGGGACGTGGACAGTGCAGAAGCTGGAGCTGTGTGCTTCATCATACAGGGCATGGCTCAGGTGTGATTCCCCCTCAGGAGTGTTCCCCCTACTCCACAGGAGACCCTGGATGGAGAACTGCCTCAAGAGTTCCTCTGTGTAGTGAGTTTGCGTGGCAAGGTTTTGGGAGCAGGGGGCCATAGGGGTGGTTTCTGTGAGAAAGATCTAGAAGCTGCCCCATATTTGGGAAGGGCCCCATTGTTTTCCAGAGCTGAGCCAATAAGTGATGTTGTTTTGTGCCTCTGTGAGAGCATATTTAAGACAGGGAAAAAAAAACGCTGCGCCACACAGCAGTTGGGAGAGTGAAGGGAGTGAGGAATAGCCCTGCAGGTGCCAAGGTCAGTGTAGAAGGAGGGGGAGAGGTGCTCCAGGTGCCGGAGCAGAAGTCCCCTGCAGCCTGTGGTGAGAACCATGGTGAAGCAGGATGTCCCCCTGCAGTCCATGGAGTACCACGGTGGAGCAGGGTTCCACGCTGCAGCGCGTGGAGGAGACCACGGTGGAGCAGGTGGCCCTGCACCGACGGAGGCTGCCGCCTTTGGAAGACCCCTGCCGGAGCAGATTCCGGGCCGGACCTGTAGCCCGTGGAGAGGAGCCCACGCAGGAGCAGGTGACCTGGCAGGAGCTGCTGCCCGTAGGGGACCCAGGTTGGATCAGTTTTCTCCTGAGGGATGGACCCTGTGGTACGGACCCATATCTGGAGCAGCTCTGGAAGAGCTGCTGCCTGTGGGAAGCCCATGCTGGACTTCCCACATGTTCATGAAGGACTGCATCCTGTGGGTGGGACCCCACATCACAGGGGACGAGAGTGACTGAGAAGGAGCGGCAGAGAAGAAGTGCTGTAGACTGACCATAACCCCCATTCCCCCGTTCCCCTGCGCCGCTTGGGGGGAGGAGGTGGAAGAGGGTGGATGGGGGGGGAAGGTGCTTTTGGTTTCATTCCTTTGTTTCTCACTTCTCTAGCTTGTTAATAATGAGCAATAACTCTTACTATCTTCTTATGCTGAGTCTGTTTTGCCCGTTACAATAATTATTGCGTGATTTTCTCGTCCTTATCTCAACCTTTGAACTCTTTTTACATATTTTCTCTCCATTCCTCTTTGAAGACGGGGAGTGAGAGAGCGGCTGTGGTGGAGCTCGGCTGCCCACTCAAGCGGAACCAGAACAACGTGGGAGAATAGACCAATCCCCACCTCGCTACAGCCTCCTTTAAGGTACAAATAAGGTCACCACTGAGCCTCCTTTTCTCCAGGCTGAACAAGCCCAGCTCCCTGAGCCGCTCCTCATAAGACTTGTTCTCCAGGCCCCTCACCAGCTTCGATGCTCTTCTCTAGACTCTCTCGAGCACCTCTATGTCCTTCTGGCAGTGAGGGGCCCAAAACTGAACACAGTACTCGAGGTGTGGCTTCGCCAGAGACAATTACAGGGGGCAATCACTTCCTTAGCCCTGCTGGCCACACTGTTTCTGATACAAGCCAGGATGCCATTGGCCTTCTTGGCCACCTGAACACACTGCTGGCTCATATTCAGCTGACTATCAACCATCACTCCCAGGTCCTTCTCTGCCTGGCAGCTTTCCTACCACTCATCTCCCAGCCTGTAGCTCTGCTTGGGGTTATTGCGACCCAGGTGGAGGACCCGGCACTTGGCCTTGTTGAACTTCATGCAGTTGACCTCAGCCCATCGGTGCAGCCTATCCAGATCCTCCTGCAGAGCTTTCCTACCCTTGAGCAGATCGACACATGCACCTAACTTGGTGTCATCTGTGAACTTACTGAGGGTGCACTCAATCCCCTCATCCAGATCATCGATAAAGATATTAAAGAGGACTGGCCCCAGTACTGAGCCCTGGGGGTCGCCACTAGTGACCGGCCTCCAACTGGATTTGAATCCATTCACCACAACTCTTTGGGCCCGGCTATCCAGCCAGTTTTTAACCCAACGAAGCGTGCGCCAGTCCAAGCCATGAGCAGCCAGTTTCTTGAGGAGAATATTGTGGGGAACAGTGTCAAAAGCCTTACTGAAGTCAAGGTAGACCACATCCAAAGACTTTCCCTCATCCACCAAGCGTGTCACTTTGTCATAGAAAGAGATCAGGTTCACCACGCAGGCCCTGCCTTTCATAGACCCATGTTGACTGGGCCTGATTGCCTGGTTGCACTGTAAGTGCTGTAAATTCTTGTAGATGGGCATCACGTTTGCTGGACGCCACTCAACTGGGGCCTTCTCTGATAGCCAGGACTGCTGATAAATGATGGAAAGTGGCTTGGCCAGCTCCTCCGCCAGTTCTCTCAGTACCCTCGGGTAGATCCCATCTGGCTCCACGGACTTGCGTACATCCAAGTGCTTTAGCAGGTGGCCAACCATTTCCTCGTGGATTATGAGGGCCACGTTAAGCTCCCCATTCCCTTCCACCAGCTCATGGTACTGGGTATCCAGAGAACAACTGCTCTTGCCACTGAAGACTGAGTTAAAGAAGGTATTAAGCACCTCTTCCTTTTCCACTTCTCTTGTGACTAAGTTTTTCCCCTAAGGATGG